AATGAAACGGACCACCTGCCATTCCTTTGTTTGGACCCTTCGTCACTATTTTTGAATTAATATGAAATAAATCATAATTTGATGGAATAGAAAGAAGAAGCACAAGAAGTGATCAACATCTGGTATGCGCCATGCGTTCTTCTTTCATTCAATCGTTGTGACATGGATTGTGATTTGGCCCATACCGCGATTCGCATGGAGCAGCCGATGCAAAAGCCATTTTCATCCTCACAGACAACTCTGGCATCCCGACTCCCGGAAGGATAGAGGGCTTGGTTGGCTTGGCCTAGATTTGATCCGAGATTCCACAACCAAACCGTATGCGCAGGATGAGGCGACACTGCAATTTGCCTCGGCCCAGGCTGGAACATGGCTACGAAAACGAGAAATCATTATGCAGAACAAAAGCTGCAGAATTTCCGGCACCTTCGATTTCTCTTCCCATGACCCTTCTTGATGGATAGTGACGTCCAACGACCGAACAATACCGAAAATCCACAGCATTATTTTATTAGGAAAACGTGAAGTTCATCAGCTGTTCACTGTAGAATGCGGCTGCACACGGTAACAAGCTCCCAAATAAGCACAGCTTATTCTTGCTTTATTTTAACTTAGAACTTATCACAATTTCGAAATCATATAAGGAAGAAATGACAACTACTATTACACATATCAAAATAACGGATAAATGGAAAAATTACGAGAATAGAAACCATCTCTGAACAGTTCTGAAAGTAAGAGAAAGCTTAGCAATTCGAATTTAAGTGGCTTCGCTTCCGCTCACAAAAAAACAATTTCAAAAGTTTTTGGTAAGCATTAAGGATAGTCCAAAAGAGGCAGCACAACCGTCAAAGCTCTCATTGTCAACAGTGCGATTATTAGTCACAGAGAAATAAGGTAAACGTGAAAAATAATCACGTCGATGAGCCGTCTTGTTGAAGGGTCTGTAACTTTGCTTCTGAAACAGACACAATTCGAAAACGCTGACAACACTACAGATTAATATCAAGGGGTTTTCTATGCTCAGTAAAAAATTTGGGTCCACATATTTAAAAACGGACGTCAATCAACTTCAAGGAAGACAGCTTATGAGCACCCGTAGATAGGGGAAAAATCAGGGAAGGAAGGAAGGCGGAATCTGGGAGTGAAAAGTGGCTTTCTTGTCTTGTCCCAGAACTCATTGAGAATTCTTGATTA